TCACGGGTGTGGCAGAGAGAGGCGGGCAGAAGGTGCTGGAGTGGACAGTGACCGCGCCTAGCAAAGTCATCCAGGTACCAGCTGGCTTTGCAGTCATTTCTCTGTCTCCATGAGGTGAAACGAAGTATGCTGAGCAAATGCTTAGGAAGTAGGACATAAGCAGTGAAGTAGACTTCCTTCTCATAGCACCAGGGAAGTGGTTGAAGACCTTAACAGCCCGCAGGAGATGGTCATCCTGGCCTTTTCTGCTGTGCCGGCCCGGCCTCGGGATCCTGTTCTGCGTCGGCACCCACGTGACGTCGTGGCCCGGGTTGCACGCCCCTTGCACTCAGCTGGCGGATGTACTCATGCACAATGTGCTAACCACTACTGGGCTTTGCAGGACAAATATTTCGTTTCAACAGTCCCGGGGAGTTTACGTGGCCCATTTCATCCTCTAATAATTGTAGCAAGGCCCCGGCTTTTCCAGCCCTCTTTCACTGCCTCGCCTGACCTTAGCGCTCAGCTCACTCATTCCCTTGGTGCCTCAAGCAGCCTTTGGCTTAACTGAGACCCGCAGTGCTTTGCCATCCCTCGTGTTGCCTCCCTCAGCTCCCTCCTGTCGTTAGTTCCTTCTCTATTCAACCTCGGGCCCCGCGTCCATGACTTGAACTCTTTTCCTCTTGTCCTCCGGTGCCGCCTGACCTAGGTCCTCCCCAACCTTGACTCAAGCTGCAGGAGATGCAGCAAGCAGCCCTTGGTTTGCCCTGGTGGTGTTGCTGCTCCCGGCTCCGCCCTGCACTGTGCATCATTGGCTGTCACCCACAAAGCGTCCTGTATACTTTTCTTGAGCTTGTGGAGTTTTTGCACAAAAGGCATTTCCAATTACCTCTACCTTCCCTAGTCTACTAGCTCAGACATGTTACACATTTTCATAGTAAAGTTGATTTTGGATCTCAGCATCAAGCAAACTTTAAAGGCCGTGTTTTCAACTGTTTATTTTAAGGGGAATTTAGAGGTTGGCTGATAAAATGCTGTTGAAATCAAAGAAATGCAGGCAGGCTTAGTCTATATAGATTTTTTATGAAAATGTAAATGGCGAATATAAGATCTCCAAATGCTTCATACCCTGTCTTTCATGTGTGGATGCACATAGGACCCTGTGCTGGGACGCATTTTTTCTCTCTTATGTTTTCCACAAAACCAAGGTAACTTCCATGTTTACATTCACGTTTTCCTCACAGGTTCCCTTGAAAACATGATAGGAATTGCCATAAAGAGGGAAGGCAGCATGCTTCAAGCAAGAGCCCCAGTTGCAAGCAACTGTTTGGCTATGTTTAGCAGAAAAGAAATATTCTAAGACGAAGTTGGGAGCCAGTTTAGAGTTCTAGAAGAGGACAAATGATTGAAGGGTAAAGCATCAGGAAAGACATTCTCCAAGTAAGATATGCAGATGGATATACAGAAGTCGCTCAGCATCTCTAGCCATTAGAGAAGTGCTTCTAGAGCTCATGAGGCCCACTTTACGTCCACCAGGATGGCTAGGATTAAAAAGCCAGGTAACAAGTGCTCACCAGGCTCTATAGAAGTCAGCTTCTCATACTGTGCTGATAAGAAACAAAAGCTCCACTATGTTTAGGAGACGTGATCAGTAGAGTGAATATCTAAATTTATAAAAACTTATTATATATAGTAAAGACACATTGGCATTAATCCCTCTCAGAAGAGTCCTCCTTGATTCAAACACACTTATCCCCTCCTCTTGCTACTTCCTGGAGCAGTTCTGGGAATTTCCTTCTGTGAGTGTCTGTAGTTGTGCTAACATTACTGCCATGATGTTCTGAGTCAGTTCAAAATGTTGACCTCTCATTATCATTCTGACTTGTAGAAGGATACAGAAGACATAGGGTGCCAGATTTGGTGAGTAAAGTAGTTGAGAATCCACTGTAAGTTTGTGTTTTTGTTTGTTTTGTTTTTCATTTGACAGAAACTGACACAAATGCTTAACTAATCAATGTGGGGTGATCAAAAAATACAGTTAAAGTTTAAATTTAAAACTATATTACAGTAAAAGACATATCACTGTAATCCCCCCTTAAAATACTCTACCTTGATTGGAATGCACTTATCCCATCATTCTTGTCTTTTACTATAATATTTTTAAAATTCAAACATTCACCCTATCTTTCAGTCATCGCTTACATAGCTTGAACTTAAATTAGAACTACAACCCAAATTCCTAAGGCTTAGCTCAAACTCCAAGCAAGTATGATGCTAAAATGGTTGAGATTGCAGGCTTGATTTCCATTACTGTTTCTTATTATCTGTTGGTTACCTTCTCTTTTATAACTTTATTCAGAAGCCTCAAATTATTTCTCTAGTACTGAAGAAAATCAGATGAAAAAATATGTAGATTATTTATTACAAAACTATCCTGACTTTGGCATAGTATAGAGAAAATTCAGATTGAAGATCTTGCAGTTATGTGTCTACAATAAAATGTTAACATACCTAACCATATGTAACAGTGACAAATTTTATCATTAAAAGTTAAAATTTTGTCTTACTCAACCTTTTAAAGCCTTATGAAATATTTAGAAAGATAGTTAACATAATTCATAATTCCAATAATTACTGTCAATAATTCAAATACTTCATGATGTCTTCCTGAGAGTGATAACACATTAAAATAGTAATTTAGTGACTCTTGAGTTTTCCTCCTGAGAATTCATTTACAGTACCATGACTTTCTTCTCAATTCTCTTTGGTTAACCATTTGTGGTTTTAAACTTTAAGAAATCTTCCTTTTGGCATGTAGACTAAAATTTGACTCAGAGGTTTCGAATAGTATTAAGCTTGTAGTGGATTTGTATTGTTTTGATAAAATACAGAAATAAACATAATTCTAATAATTAGCAAAACTTATTGTAGCCTACTTTTCACTTCAGGAAGTAATGATTCATCAAGTAAAAGTGCAATTTATCATTTATCTGGAATGCATTATTTGAACTGACATCAACACACCCGTCTTTTCAGCTGACATGATGCTAGATGGCTCTATTAATAACGTGGACATCTGCTCTGCCTCTTCATTGCCATAGAACTTGGGAAAATTACCTCACCTCTGTAGACCTCAGTTTTTTTCATTTGAAAAAAAAAACTATTTAAAAAATTTTTATTTTGACAAAAAGCTTCAGACACATTTTGTACTGGAACTTCTCCTGCCCTGGAATCTGCCGTCTTGCCAGGGACATCATTTTATATTTTAAGTAGAGGACAGAGCCTTGCTTCTTAAGCTGACTTTCCAGAATGATACAGTTAGAGGAAACTGATACAGTTAAAGACTACAGATGTCCAGAGATGAGCTAGAAAGCTGGAAATTGAGAAATTTGAGAAAAGAGTAATATTTGAATAAATAGGACCAGGGAGGACATCCCTGAGTTTAACATGACAAAGGTGTGGCACTGGGCAGAGTCACATCATGTTAGGGAACTGTGACACATTTGATTAGTTGGTAATGTGTGGATGCGGGAATCCAGTTTACTGGAAGCCTAGTGTCCCAGTCCGACTCATTTAGAATCTACCCTGCATGTGATAAAGTGGCCTTCACTTTTGATGCTGAGTAGCCAGAAAAGATGTATTTTAGGAAATTAATATTATGCTGTATTGCAGAATATGTTGGAAAGCAGCAGACAAGTTAAGCATTGGTCTCAGGGGGTGGGAATAGAAACTGAAAAGAACAAATGAAAGGAAAATAATTTGGAAGAAGAAATGGCTTTAGTGTGTTGAATTGGATTGTGGGATAGTATGGAATTCTGAAACAGGAAGCTGCTGACTTTTATAAGGGAAAGAACAAAATAAAAATTGCCAACAAAGACTCAAAAAAAGCAAGCTTGATGGTACTGAATCTCTTTTCTTTTTCTTTCCTTTTTAAAAATGTTTTACTTTTTTAATTTTTAAAACATTTTTTTGATGTCGGGGATTGAACTCAGGGCCTCAGATATGCTGAACACTAGCTCTACCCCTGAGCTACGTCTCCAGCCCCAATGATACTGACAGTTTTATCTCTTTTTCTATATGTTCATTAATATCAACAGAATTATTTCGTAATTTTTTACACAAAATAATGCAGTTAAATATTAATGACTTGGAGCCAGATAATGTCATAATTGTTAGAGTGATATTTGCTGAATTTTCTAACACTTAAAAATAGATATTCAGTAATAGCACTAATATTTATAGCTTTAGATGTATTGCAAAACAGGAAGCTGTTTTGGCTTGATGTGTTCACTGGTTTCCAGTTTCAGACCAGTTCTCTGAATCAGCTCCAGGTTCTTCATGGTGTGAAAGATACAGCTCTTGTTGGCGTTTGGAAAGAAGTTTCTTTACAAGCACTGAATTTGATTCCTATGGTGTTACTGAAATTCACATTACTAATACCCTCTTTTAAAAAAATAGCATTTAAAACTTTGTCTTAAGGAAAAAAAAATTAGACACCAAGCACTTAGCTATATCTTAAAATCATCAAATATGGTGACCAAAATATTCTTTGCTTTAAGTGGGAGAGTAAAGGCAGAAGAAAGGGCCTGATTTAAACTGCCTACAAGGATTGAGAGTGATGTCCCTGGTGAGGTGTTTGACATTTCATTAATTTTTGCTCTTAAACATATGTCGGACTTAGCGAGATCACTCTTCATCGAGCGAGTACAAAATGCCACGTTTGCTACCTCTAGCCACTGTTTCTTCATTTCTGAACTGGCTCGAGCCCGAGAGTTTCCACTAGAGAACTAAGCTTCATTCTGCCCGTCAGTTCGTTCATTTGCTTGCTAATAGATCGTGGGCTTTCTAATTAAAGTCTATTGGAAGGAGTTATTCCATGAAGCAGTATGTGAACTCTGTAATGTGTTGGGCGGGTGCTGGATGGGCGACTGTCATAATTTCTGCTGGTACAGTTTTTGAAAAGGAAAACAGAGTCAGTGCTTTGGGTTGGAAAGAAGATTTCACGTTATCTGTCTTTGCAGGCTTTCTGGCTCGCGCGCCGGAGGAATCCTTGCTGCGGGGGTGTTTTCATTTTCTCGCCTGACGTGGCAGTGGTCCATCGCGGCAGAGGTTTTCAGCTTGAACAATCTGTTTGTGGGGCTGCTTATGGCTCTTACTGTACATTTCGAGGAGGCGGAAACTGCAAAAGAGAGATCAAAGGTAACCTATTTTGATCAAAGTGAAATCATTTTTGTTTTAATTTTTAGACAGACTCTGTATTTCCTTTTAACTTTGGTTTAGATGCTGTTTATCTATTCGGATTGCTGTCAGGGTAATCTAGGCATACGAGGAGAGAGAGGAGCGCGTGCTCAGGGCTTTGATTGTGAGTGACCCACAATAGCCCTCGTGAGACGTGGGACTTTTTCTCCCCAGAGTCGAGAAGTTCCTTGGGGAAGGAGGGATTATGAAGCCCTCCTGGAGTGCTGGAGGAAAGGCAAGCTGTTTAGTCTGCCCGCCATCCCGTGTGTGTGAAGTGCTGGGCTATAGTTGGACTTACCACCTTAAATTATGAATCATTATGGTTTATTGACGTCCACACTGATTGTGAAAATTATCAAATCTGTTTTGTTTAAATTAAGAATATCAAATGTAAAAAGTAGCTCAGCAGAGATTATGTTATTACCAAAACATCTGACCACAATGAAACCCAGTATTTTGTAAAGTTAATGTGCACTAATTTTCAACATATATATAGAAAAATCACTGGAGTGTCTTTTGAGAGCTTGGCATCGATCTACACAGTGAAAAATGCTAGATTATCTTGGTGTGGGGCAGCCTATGTTCTCAAAGAATATGGAAACCAAAGAACATTGTGTGGTTCCCATGAACAGGTCCACGATGCTATTAGAGATTTTGTTTGAAGTAACTTTTTTTTCATTATGTGAATGAACAAGTTATTTAATGCACTTTGTAAAGAACCCTGGGCACACTTGATTCAGCTTTAGGTTTAGGGACAATCGCAGTGGGGTTTTGTCATCGGGGAGAGAAATCAGGCTCCATTCCACATACAAGACAAGTGAGGGCTGATGTGCCAGGTGCAGGCTGGCTCAGGGGGTAGGGAATCATGCTGGCAGGCCGCAGAGGGAAGGGGAACCTCTCTCTGCTGAAGCAGCAGGGTTCCTCTGGTGGCAAGCCAGGGTGACTGCAGAGGGGAGTGGAGGAAGAGGCATGAGATAGATGCTGGGTGCCCAGACCAGGAAGATGAGGGCTCTGGCTGAACGGATTTTGTAGACACTACACGATGGGCGCCCTCGCCCTGCGTCAGGGCCGAGTTGAGAAGAGTTCAGAGGATCCTGACTGAGTTTGGTCAAGCAGAGACTGTCAACTGGGAAAGGAATACATATGCAGAAAGGCAAAAGTGCCACCCAGGTTTCTAAGTACAGTACAAGGTGTTATGTATAGTTCATATAGTAGGAAAAAAAGTCAAACACAATTGCTCAGTTAATAGCTAGAAATTTGACTTGAGAAAGGAAGGGTGTAAAAGATGGGTGGAGAGGGGAGGGAGGGAAGGGACAAGATATGGAAAAAGAAATGAAAATGTGTTAAGCGCACATAACCAACTGCACACAAGGAGTGTAAACATGTATTATACACGTGCTAATAAGCTAAAATTAAATATAAATATAAATATAAATACCCTCTTGTGGTTAGCACTGCATCTACATACAAGACTTTCTCAGGGTCAGTTGGAAGATAGTCATTTAAGGTCAAACTACAATTGTTTGATGAGAATGGGAAACATTAACAAAAAATGGGTGACAAAATTGGGTGTGGTGGGGCCTAACTGGTAATCCCAGCTCACAGCATGTTGAGGCAGCAAGATCCTGAGTTTAGTGCCAACCTGGAGAACACAGCCCTACCTGTTCTCAAAAAATTATAGTGATAAATATTAGTGACTGGTAAAATGCAATTATTTGCATGCAAGAATCTGATTTTACCCGGAATGATGATTCAAAATGTTTGGTTTGAATAGTAAGAGTAGCTTTTTGTCCTTGTGCTGGAGTTTTAGATGAATTTCTAACTCAGTTTTTTTTTTTCTTACTTATTTTCAGATAGCTAAAATTGGTGCTTTCTGCTGTGGCCTTAGTTTGTGTAATCAGCACACAATAGTAATCTATGTTCTATGTATAGTACCTTGGATTCTCTTTCGGCTTTTAAAAGAGAAGGTAGGTTTCAAAATTTATCAAAATAAAAAAGTCTTATTTCATTTAAGTGAATTGCAATATTTATGGCACCAGAAAACCTGGAGCTTTAATTTTTCATGGGTTTTAGGTAAAGCATAAATAGCCTTTGGCCTTAACAGTATTGACTTTTAAAAAAAAAAGAGGATTTACAAAAATTATGCAATATTGATTGCAGTGGCATCTGGCCCATTTTGTAATTTTCTCCTTGATTCAGAACAGCACCTCAGTGAAAATAGGCTAAAGGGGATATTAAATTTCCTTAATGGTTTTTTACACATTCAAAGATACAGGTGGGTGCCAGGAATACATCACCCACTCTTCATCTGCATGTGGTGAGCCGTCCCCCCCCCACACACACACACTGTGCCCTCATGCCCATGCTTGGAAATTTAGCGCTCAACAAACTGACACATCACCACTCCTGTGAACTCCTTAACATCTGTGAAGAGTAACAGTCTGTTTTCTCAGAACATTTCCCTAGAAATAAAAATGATTTAGCTTAATTTCATCTTTCTCTAAAGAAAAATGATTATTAATTAAAATGGCAGTAAAAAGCACTGTAGGAAAATTACTTTGTTAGGCAGTGGGAGATTTGGGCAGGGAAAAGCCAAAGGTCAGGCTAGACGCGACACTGAGAGGGTAGAGGTCCTTTATTCTTCTGTTAAGCTTCGTCCTGAAGGGTGAATATCTATGAACAAAGCCAATGTTGACATCTTTGACTTTATTTTTTGTGGAGAAAGACCTGAATTTATTTGTTATCTAATTATTTGCTATAATCAGAATTACAATAAATAACACATAGTATGTAGAATAAAATTCAAATATAGAAATAGGGAGATAATTATGCTAAAGCTTTAGATACAAGGAAAGCTCAAAGTATACAGTGACTATTTAAATAAAGAAATTTACTAAAGGACACCTTGCCATTAATCTTCCTCAGAGGGTTGCCCCCATGCTGAATGTGCTCATCTTGTCCAATTCTTGCCACTCTGAAGCAGCTCCTGGAGTCCTATTTTGTGTCTTTACTAGAGGTGACCATAAATACAGTGAGTGCTGCTGCCTGCCACTATCCAATGAAAAGGCAAGCTAGGAAAATACTTACATTTCATTCATCAGAACTGTCAGTCACCATGTGACTTGTGGCTTTTCCCCACAGTCAGAATAACCATGAAAGGTCAACGTTTGGGACTGATTCAGGCACCCGTACAGCACAGTGAGACACTCATGGAAAAGACTTCCACTCAGAAAGGGACAAGAACAGTGAGCTGAGTGTGTTTGAAGAGAGGAGGAGAATGTGGAGAGGGGTGCGATTAATGTCAGTGTGTCCTTTAATACCTTTAAAATTTCTTAATATTCACTGTATTTATCTGTCATACATTGTGGTTGAATTTCCAATACTTGAAAACATTTTGTGTCTTAGCATCTTGGCCACAAAGCCAAAAGGGTAACATGATTATAAAATTCTTATGATGTAATTAAAGAGTAAATAAAAGGGAAACAATAGTTGACAGAGAAGAAAAAGTTTTTCTTGGATTTGAATTGAATTCTATGGAGTAGATCTTACATGACTCATATCAGGGATACTCAATACGCTAACACACAAGGTTTAGATTTGATAGTGCGTGGAGAAAGTTCTATATATGACCTTTTCTATAGAACGGAGCAGAGAAAGCCCAAATACGTTTATCGAGGATCAGCAGGTGCACAGGGGCTGGTGACCAGGCAGGTGCACTTGTCTTTCTGGGCTTCCGACCTGGCAGATGCTAGAGGTGCACCCTCTGGAGGAGCCCCAGAACAGATGCGTCGTGTTAGCCGATGCTCTGTAGAACACGTAGCACTCAGGGTTGGTGGTTTAGGGGCCGTTTGCCCACGGCAGAGGTGAGGTGGAATGATGACTGTCCCGCAGGTCTCTTTCAGTTCCATTATTTAGGGAGCAGAGGCTAGGGCATAAGGTGAACAGTGAGGTCTCTGGGTTGCTGGGGCTCATTGTGAGGTGACGGTAAGGAGTCCCAGGTTGGTTAATCTCAACCTGGCCGCACACTTTATCTCGGCAGCTTTAAAAACAGGCGTGCAGAGTGGGCATGTAGCTCAGCAGCATAAGCGCCTGCCTGGCAAGGGCAAGGTCCTGAGTTGCAATGCCGGTACCAAAGTGTGCATCCACGTACGTACACGTGTTTTCTTACACATAGATGCATGGTACATATGTGTACTTGTGCTGCAACTAATTCTGGCATAACCAATCGGGGTGAGTCCCAAAATCGGTTTGAGCCTCAAACATCGGTTTATTTGGCATCTTTTCACCCCCGGGTGATCCCGTTGTGCAGCCCGCATGCAGAGCCCTCCCCTGCTCTGCCATAGCTCGCCTAGTGCGGTCTTCTGATTGTCTCTCACACAAGAGGAAAGCTCTGCAGCAGCTGCATCTGCCTGCCACACTATAAACATTTACCTCCCTCAAAGCCGCTTTCAAGGCTCGCGAAAACTTGCTGTTAGAGTAGATATTCCTACACTTTTCATGCCATCATTTTTCATGCGTCTCATTACTGCTACAGAAATCTCAAATGAAATCAGTGTGACAACAAAAACACTTCATTTTCAATTAAGAATGTTTGTTTGAAAATGCTTATATAAATCTACTGCTTGTTCTAGTGGTGAATGTGAACCGTGGCTCATACATTTATTTGCACAGATTAATTTCTCTGTTCTGTAAAAGAAAATTGGAAATTTCCAGTTGTGATATTTGTAAGAGACCCTTTTCCCCAGTTATTAAAGCAACCAGTATTCCTGTCTTTCTGGTATACCACACTTTACATTCTTTTGGACTTAAAAAACTCTGTTGATGTAGTTCTTTGTTTGAGGATTATACAGATCAGAAATATATTTCTCCCAAATAAGATACAGGAGAAAACTGTTACATATAACAACACATTTCCTTTAATATTCCATCCTAAATTTAACTTGAAAAAACAGTTATGTGAGCCTGGAGATTATATATGAACTTGTTTTTTTCATGCCAAACATTTATGTGAAGTGCTGAGAGATAGCCCTTGCGGATAGAGTTACATTGTCAGTATATAACTGAATAAAGCATATACTTGGGGTTCATTTCTAATGATGGTGACGAGGTGAACTGGTATGAAAACGGTATTGGGAACATCATCAAAATCAGCCCAACAACACATAATCAGCCTCAAATGCTTATCTCAGCTGTGCAGGGCTGCATTTTGTGGCCTGGTTTTAAATGTAAAAGATGGCAATAAATATGATACTCTCGCATCTTAGCTAGTATATTTGCTTCATTCTGATTTCCCCTGCCAGGTGAAAGAGGTCAGGCTAGTCCAGTCTCCTAGTAATCCACAGTAAGGGGAAGGGTTAGCACTGTAGTTGGTAGTGACTTGGTATAAACTGAGAGACGAGCCTTGAACAAACATACAAGTTTAGACACTGTCACAGCACTCCGCGTCCGCAGGCGCTGTCCCTGGGATCCCTGCTGCAGCTGAGCCTGGCCTTCGCAGCGGGCTTCTTGCCCTACCTCTACCTCCCCGTCTCATCCTACCTCAGCCAGGCCCGCTGGACCTGGGGCGACCAGACCACACTGCGCGGGTTTCTGACACACTTTCTCAGAGAAGAATACGGAACGTTCAGCCTGGTAAGCTGGTACCTGAAGGCCTGCTAAGGAGATAAGTGGCAAAACCTTAGGCTTGAGCCTTGGTTGAGATGCTAGTGTTTATCACTGACAGTAGTTACAATTTTCATCTAGTTATTTATGTATTAAACTTTTCCCTTGAGGTGTGACCCTTAACATACCTTAGAAAAATCATGTTGTTGTGTATCTCTAATGTACTTTTCAGGGTGATAGGCATTAAAGGGAGGGTTTTCAGTCTGGTTAGCCGTGGGCACCTGCATGGGTGCCTGGTCTGTGAGTAGACATCCCTGAGAAAGAAACCTCAACATTTTTATTTACCTTGCCAAAACATTTCCTTAAAAAAAAAAAAAAAAAAAAAAAACATAAGCTGGTTACTAATTAGTCTTTAAAACTGAAGACCAATCTGTAATTGCTTGGTAAAATATGAAATGGAATAGTGTGCTGTAAAGAAAGTCAAAAAGCCTCACTTTCCCTGGGATGTAGGAAGAAAAACACTCAGTATAGTTACAGGTGTGGACAGTATGTCTAGCGTTTTCTCTCGTGGTCTGCGTTCTGTGGGTTGCTAAGAGAGTCTGAAGGTGCTAAGAGAGCCATTTATACAGAATTCTAAACACTGCAGACCCTGAACAGTCTGATTCAAAGACAGTCAAAAGCTGTAAAACTTTATTTCCAAAAGTAGGGGAATCATGAACAGTAAGTTCAAGGTCACAGTCACCTCTGGTAGCTAAGGAGTGAGAAGCTTGTGCTGGCTTTGTGATATTTTGTAACATTGTGAAGTTTTGTTTCTTAACTGAATGGTGGATTTTAGATTTGTAAAAAACTTTATCCTTTAAATATTTATTATGTATAATTAATATATAGATATTAGATACTATATTTATCTTAGATATCAGGCATTTCACAACAATAGGTAAATGAAAGGATGATTATTATTGACACTTGCAAGTTTGGTATGTTAAATACTCTATATTGGTCAATTTGAGCTTTGTATCATTCACACATAATTGTGAAATTATGGGCTACCATGTTGTAACGAATTCTAATCAGAATGCCCCAAAAAGAGTGGAAAGCATATTTATAAGGGAAGTATTAAAAGTCTGTTAATAGCCAGGCATGCCTATAATCCCAGCACTCAAGAGGCTGAGACAGGAGGATCACTGCGAGTTCAAGGCCAGCCTGCGCTGTGTAGTAAACTCAAGGCCAGCCTGAACTACATAGTGAGATCCTGTCTCCAAAAAAAAAAAAGAAAAAAAAAGTCTATTAATTCATTGACCACTCCTACTGGAATAGTTGAACTGTTTTTTAGCCAGTTATTTCTAATTACCATTGCTGAAAGTTGTCCAAGTTTTATTTTAAATCTTGTTGACTTTGAAAAAAAAAGAGAGTTAGCCAGTGTATATTGAAAACATGCATCTTTTTAAACGGAGATCATTAAAATGCAATAACATAACAAAGCTGCAGTTTAATGCTTATGCAAATAAGTGTTCTCCTTTGTGTTTAGGCCAAATCTGAAATAGGATCCAGTATGTCTGAAGTATTGCTGTGAGTATGAAATATTTGAAACTATTTTAAAATAAATCTCCATTAGTTCTTTTAAATGACTGTTAAGGATTGCTGGGTTCTCTTTGTGAAAAAGTATATCTGAGCATGAGTTTTCATCTCTACAATTTATAGTTGTCTGTAAACACTGTATTGTCATATATGCTAGCATTTTTCTCAGTAAGATAAAGCTTAAAGTGAGCAGTAAATACAATAGTGAATAAGAATCCTGGGAGAATAGCTAGAGCCTAAAGAACTAAAGTATTTCAATTCCCAATCAGATGCAAAATTACCCAATATACTGTTACTTTACAAATAATGTATTCTTTGTTTGGGTTTTGCATTGTCTTTATTTTATGGGGATTTTGTAACATTGTGTTTTCATAGTTTGAACAATTTATGTTCTTGTTATTTTGGTTGGAACTACATTTTAAATTTTTCAGAGCTTAATTTTCGTATTAATATTTTTTATGACTTTTTTGGGCTGTCCTTGTCATAAGCTGTATTTTTGAGTTACATATTTTTAAGATTCAGCCTTATTAGAGCCAGCTTAAGCAAATATACTTTCATCTATATTACCCAATAGTGTTCTTTAAAAATGGGTTAATAGTTGCTTAAAATGTACTCAGATTGAGCAAGTTGAAAATATGCATGTCAATTTAAAAATATCCACATCAACTATAATACTTTAAAATTCCTGAATAAAATAGACTTGATATAACATGAAAGTGATCTCCTAACTAATTACCAGTTTGGAACTTTCAGGGCTATTTGAAGAAAGTAGGAGAAGAATATTCCCACTTTACCTATGAGGCTGTTTATACGTACTCATAGTTGCCCTGTGTGCTGACTTCGATTCACCTTTTCTTTCTTTTTAAACAACTTTCCTCACTCCAAAAAGATATATATCTTTACATTATATTATTATAGATACATTGTATTGAAATTAGAAAACAAGTAGACAAAAATAAATTTAAGATGACCTATAATCCCAGCATCAAAGATAGCCACTATTCTTAGATTGTTGACATTTTTCTCTGTATTCTTCTGAACTTTCATAAATATTTGTGTGTGTGTGTGTGTGTGTGTGTGTGTGTGTGTGCGCGCGTGTATCTACATGCATTTTTTCTAAGTGAGATAACTGCTGGATGTGGTGGCACGTGTCTGCAACCCATTCCTCAGGGGAGGCTGAGGCAGGAGGAGCATGGGTTTAAGGCCAGCCTGGGCTACACAGAGAGACACTGCGAAAGAAGGGAAGAAAGAAAGGAAGAATCATATTATGCATGCTGTTTATTAGCCTACTGCTTTTCACTCTACACCGTATGTGGGAAATGTTTTCCTGTCAACAGTTATTCTTACATAGCCTTTTGATGATTCTCCTACTTGATTTTTAAATATTTCTTTTTATATGTGACAGTGTTTTGTTTTTTTTAACTCCTCCTGCTTTCTGTGAGGGAAAAGTAGCAAGAAGCTCAGTTTTGCTTAACTTGCTGTGTCCTCTGTCTCCGTGCGCTTGTCTGCCACCTTCCCCAGGCCGGCCCAGGGCAGGAGCAGGTCCCGCAGGGACCCTACCCCTCCTAAGAAGTATCTTAGACCATGTGTTCAACGAAAGTCACCTTAGGGGGCATTTAAAGCCCTCCTTCACATTAAAATAATACCTGTTGGGTTTTATACCTAGAAAAAGATCAGGCCAAGCGATGCCCTCGCCCGTCCCAACCGCCCCCTAGGTCATCTGCAGAACCCTAGCTCTTGTGGGGTGAGCATCTTCTCTCTTCCATTGTTTCAGGTGGACAGCAGTACTGAAAAAGACAACTAATAATGAGCTTAGGAAAAAATTCTTCAGAGTGATAGAATATAATCATTTGCCCTCTTCCAGCCAAGCAAATTAAATTCTTTCCCTGTGCATATCTCTAAATTGCAATCCAGTATGAGGAAATTATTGAATCTAACCTTAGGCAGGGACCATCTTTTAGAGCTTATGTTTAAGCAACAGATCTCTAAGAACTAATTTGAGACTTCATTTCTTTTGAAGGAATGAGCCTCATGCTAGAATCAATTTTTCAAGTACATTTGCAAATGAGTTAGGATAACTTCTCATAGTAGATGAGTCCCCATTAGTAAAGTACACATTGTGTGCTTTCCATAATTATGGCATCACATTTTCTCCAGTAAAATTGCCAGTAGGGAGACGAAAGTTCCTGGAAATGGTGAGTAATTGTTTCTTAGACTGCAATGGCCATTTTCAACAACACTTGAAGGATGCTTCTTGGTTGTTTGTTTGCTTGCAGAAAACAATAGTGGGAGAATCCTTCACTTTGCCTTTCTATTTTCCCTTTATGATTAACTCTCCAGAAGATGCTTTTAGTTAATTTTTTTAATTGCTAAATTACTAGTGACCATGTCCACATTATCAGCAGAATACAATTCAAAAGCCCTTTTCAAGCAACTTGCCATACTGATTGGAATATCCATTCAGAATACCAGTATTAAAAATAGAAAGGAATTATTTATCCTGATCCCATCACAAATTACACATGTCATAATCAAAAATTACAACTGGAAAACATCTGCGAAGTTTTCACGCTTTCTATGGTGACAATCAAATACATCTACAGAGAATCCTTTATCTGCAATTAGCCAAACTTGTTTTCTGCCAACAATAAGTTGGTTTGTTTTCACAGTTCTCAAGTGACAAGCATGAGGACGGAACTCTCACTCAACATTCAAGCCCTTGCAGTTTGGGCAAATATATGTTCAGCAAGAAAGTGAGTAAAATGATTCCTTTTCCTGTTGTTTTTACCATGATCATCACTGAGCTAATGTTTTCCAGATAGCATCGTAAACACTGCCGTGTCCTTTATGTTCCAAATCAGTGGCTCCGCCAGGTACCTCTGTTGGCGCAAATGTGCTCCATTTTCTTCCTGGCTCATTTTGTCTTCTGGGTATAAATCGGTGTGTTGGAAAGTGACCGGTTTGTGTGAAGAGACAGGTCATTTTATGCCAAGCTTTGGTTTTGATTGCTTACTCTGCCCATAGCTAATTATTATTGATTTACAAAGGGAGCAAATAACTATTTAAATTCCTCTGACAAGAAAAGAAAGCCTCAGTCCCTATTAATTTTTATTCATCCTATTTTCACATCTGTTGAATGTATTTATATGTAAATGTACACCTGTACATATATGTATGAATTATATTTGCTTACTACTTAACATTGTATTGTTAATGTTTTCCCATACTAAAAAATTAAAGCAATTTAAATATCTGTATTCCATCCTGTGACCATAAAAGAGTGAATTTAAATGTTCTCCTATTTGAGAGTCCTTAAGATTGCTTCTACTTTTTCCACTGTTATAAATGTTAATAGTCCCAGAGCATTTTTATGCACTGATATTTTTCATATTTCTATTTACTGCTTAAAGATTTGTACCTGAATTTCAAATGACTGAGTAAATAATGATGATTATTATTAAGGCTATTCATAGAGATACTTAATTAACTTTTCTTGAAGAGTATATTAAATATTTTCATCCTAAATTCTCACCAACATTGAGATTTGTCATTTTTAAGTCATTATTTCAAGCATGAAAATAATGCTTGTGTTTTACATGTTTGATTACTTCTGAAATTTAACAAGATTAATAGTTTGTATTTTGTCTGTGAATAGCTTTGCTTCATAGTTCCATGTTAAGTTGCCAACACTATACAATTCAAGTTTATTAGTAGATTTTGGATGTCTATTCCCACTTAGATTTTACAAACTGAGATTTTTCTTCTTAAAAATGTTGAGTTTTGGAAATGAAAATACTTTTCCTATAGTATAAAGCTGTGTAGTATTGCTATTGATGTTCATGTGTATAGATAACTTTGCACATACTTGTATTTTTTTTTTGTAGGGACAGACAGAATTCATCATTAGTTTGGCTTTTTACTGGAATGTTTTACATTTACTCATTGTTCTTTGCTTGGAGGGCAAATTTAGATATTTCAAAGCCACTTTTCATGGGCGTGGTAAGTTATACTTAGATGTATCCTTTAACCAGAAAGTTTGTGAAGATTGTATAAATTTGTCTTCCATGAATCTTGTAGCAGAACAAATGAATAAAGTCATATATATATATAATTTTTAGAAATCAGAAGTTAAATTATTGACCCATTAAGAGTAAGCCCATTTTTAGGGAAGACTTCAACATTTAGTTAACACTGTAGCAAAAGAGGAAAACAGATCTGAGACATGGAGTCATTTTGTGTGTGTATATTTACTTGCAAATATATGTAAAATTACATTCCACCTGGAAATTTTTTTAGAATAGTGAAAGAAATGAGGGCTGTAACTCAGGCACTTACCAACACATTCCTATACTCTTTAGCTCACCGTCCTAGGACTGTGAGCTAAAGAGCTGTTTTCCCAGCAGCCATCTCTGAGGTTAGGGTATTCCTTTTTCATGCATATATCAACCAGTGTAATGGGGTGAGCCACTTTATTGCAGGTCATCCTGACACTGCAGAATGTGGCTGCATCTGTGCATGAACCCTCCTCGTGCTGCTGGCAGGGTAAGCCGATCCAGCCATTGTCACCTGCGGGCTGTGCAGGATAGGCCTGGCACTCTCACTCCCCTTACTGGTACAAGGACAGACTGTGCCCCTGGACAGATGCTCTCTGGGGCCACTCATTTCCAAGAGTAGGAGTGGCTGGAGGTTGGGGGAGAGGGGCAGGCTAGCAGGTTCAATCCCAGCTCCCCACTCCCTTCAGATCAGTCCCTGCATCCCACAGGAAGAAGGAAAGGAGGACCCTAGAGTGGTTAGACTCTTGAGAGTCTAACAGGAGAAACCAGGAGTTGGGTCAGGGCATTTTTCTGCCTCCTCTGCCCTATTTCTGAGCCCAAGATGGACAGTGACCGTATTGAAGTGAATGTTTATATCCAAAAAGGAGATGCTGGCTCAGGATGGAACTCAGTGGCAGAATGCTTGTCTAGCATGCACAAGGCCCTGAGTTCCACCCTCAGCACCACCCAAAATTAAAAAAAAAAGAAAAAGAAAGAGGCCCATGTCACACATTGTTGGAACACTGAAAAGTGAAGCAGTGTGTATGGAGCTGGGCTTGGGGAGTCAGTCAGCAGCCTCTGTGTGAGAGCAGGTGGAGTACTATGTGTAGGCAGCATGTTATCCATGTAGGTGAGAACCCAATAGCAGCTGGACACATGGCTCGCGTGTCTCCTGCAGGTAGAGCGGTTCTGGATGCAGAGCAACGCAGTGGTGGCCGTCCTTGCTGGCCTTGGCCTGGCCACACTCACGTCTGAGACTCAGCGAGCACTGAGGAGCGGTGGGCTTCAGTATCTGGAATGGCTTTCGGCAACTCTGTTTGTGGCTTACCAATTGTATTCTAATTATAGGTAACCAGGGTTATTTTTACATAATTAAGCACCCAAGCCCAAGACCTGTGCAGACTTAGGTGTGGGACCTGGTTTCACTTTAGGCTTGCATTTGGTTTCCAAGACTTAAGTGAGACACCTTAGTCTGCAAGCAAAGGGCTTTGACGTCAGGGAGATGTTAGTCCTACTCTGGCCCAGCAGAGGAGGGTTCAGTCAGGGCACACAGATCGAACACTCCTCAAAAGAGCCCTGGAGATGCTTTGTAGAATTCGGAGTATATGTAAAATTCCATGATCTAAGCTATCACTTACGTAGAGAGTAAGAGACTGGAGGTTTTCATGTGCACTAAGTGCTCCCTACAGTTCATCTTTGAGAATATTGGGCCCTTTCCCAGTTAACTTTGTAGTGGAGACTAATTATTTTTAAATTAAGTTTGAAAAGTGTCTTAACTCTAACACAGTATTTTTTAAAATATATATATATATATAGTTTTAAATCTTTTCATTAGTGATCACAGTGAAATCTCAGTGTGACAGAAAACATGTCTAAATCTCAGATGACTTTATTTCTAGCAGTCTGATACATGTTACTGAAGAGAAAGTTCTTTGGTGTTTTGTTATGGGGAGATTGGACTGAAATCGTTTTAGAATAAACTTCCTCTTGCAGCTTAAGTCTGAAAGCCCTGGTCGGAGGCTCCTGCGCCAGTGTCTGTGGGAGGAGGCTGCCCTCCTCCGAGTTCCTCGGCCTCACTCATTCTGCCCAGCCCTGCTCCCAGTAGCGTGTGCCCAGCCTGGGCAGCTCAGCTTGCTCTCATGTCTTTGTGTGCCCCGAGGGAGTAGCTTCGCTAGCAACTTTGCAGGGTGGTGAAGTGTATGCCACCACCCACTATGGGAGGCAGCGGTGGGAAACCGTCACCCTCCCATCGATTGCAAAGGCAGGGTAATGCCGCATTCCGAGAGGTCCATCTGTTATTTGCTATTTAGGCCAACCTAGTGATTTAGGCAGTGCTTCTCAGCTCCATCAAGTGTAATGCACCTGATAATAACAGGAATGACATTCCTTCCTCTGTTGTTTGGTGCTTTTTGCTTTTCATGTTAAGTTCTCAGAATTCATGCACTTTTTCTTTGAAGTTAGAAAGTCTGCTTCATTCTTGAAAAGAGTTTTTGAACGGCTGCCATGTGGGCATCAGCAAACAGCGCCTGGAGGGAGGTGAACAAAACACTCTCCTCCTCTTCCTCATTCTGACCTGGAGGGGAGAGAGGATGCAGAGAGCTTGGGGTACAAAGAAGTAGTGAGTGGGAAGGGTCCCCCTCAGCGTGCTGAGGTCTGCACAACTACCACTTACATTCACGTATGAAGCTGGCATTTTTGAAAGTTCCCTTGGCGTAAACAGAATTATCAGGAAACTACCTTAATTCCACATAGTTGCAAACCTTAGCTTTGTTGGATGCACCTGGATTTGGGGGAATGGCTTATTCTTGAACACTGACTGATTCCCTTTTTGTGAAAATGGTTGTAAATTTTAGAAATAAAGGAGCAGACTGGGGTTTTCAGTTGTAGAGCTTGATATTTCTCTTTTTATCAGATAATACATGCAGAGCAATATTTCCTAATTTACATGCCCTGAGGATATTGAAATACTAAATATGAAAACACTTGTAGATTGTGTGATTTGAAAGGAATGGCAGTATTCTTGACACATAGCTATTTGTTGCTGCAACTTTAACTTTTATTATCTTTCTACTTAGCATTTGTGACCAAAGGACCAACAATGTGATCAGTACATTTGCAAAGAACCTTCTAGACTCTATGCCTCATGATGCAATCATCTTACTCAGAGGCGACTTGCCAGGGAATGCTCTCCGTTACATGCACTACTGCGAAGGCTTACGGCCAGATATTTCACTGGTGGACCAGGAAGTAAGCACATAGAATGTATAATACATAGTATGTAAAAAAGTTTTGTAAATAATGAATGAGTGCATTGTTCATAATCACTCTTAGGTTACATATCACATTCTTTTGTATAATAATACAAATCATATGCGTTATTTATCATTTAAACTAACTTGTTTAAGAATTAATGTGTTTTATTGGCTTTGTCCTGCTTGCCTATAACCCCAGCTATTTGGAAGGATGAGGTAGGAGGATCACAAGTTTAAGGCCAGCCTGGGCAACTTGGCAGATTCTTTTCTCAAAATAAAAACTTTCAAAAGAGCCAAGGATGTAGTTCAAGAATAGAGCATTAATCCTAACCCTAGCCCTAAGTTGAATATGAATTATACTGTGGGAACATCTCAAATAATTTCTCAAAATAAAAATTATTAACCAAAACTCTGCTATAGAATTTTTTGTATAATCTTTGCTGATCCTATGACAAAAATACATTAGGAGGGAACTTGTAGAAATTTTGATGGGTAGTAAGACAGTGGTTTGCAACTGAAAAACTGTATTTAAACATAAGATTTATTATTTAGACTATAAGTATCTAAAGGGACCAAATATAACTGATGTTTAGAGGCATCATCAGAAAAACAGAAATTCTTTTTTTTTCTTTTTCTTGTTCTCTTTTTATTCGTACCAGGGACTGAACTCATGACTGCCTGCTTGCAAGGCAGGTGCTTATGCCAACCCAAAACAGAAATTCTTAATGTTGAAAGGATAATATGATTAGTTTAGTTGGACAGTAATTAGAATACTTAATAAACTGATGTATTAAAAAATAATTAGAATTTTGGGAGAAAACTAAACAAATTTTTAAATACTCTGTAAGGAAATTTGCACATTGCATATATTTTATAAGCAATTTGCATTTATATTATGTATATAAATTGACAAATTTGATCTTCAGTTCAGCTCTTAAAAAATTTACTTGTTGATAACATAGTATTTTACTATGATTTTAAATACTAGCAGGGGGAGGATGTGGGGATATAGCTCAATGGTGGAGAATATGCCTAGCATGTGTGGGGCCCTGAGTTCCATCACAGCATCCAAATCGTATATAATGTGTATATATTATTTGTGTCATATGTGTGTATGTGTAAAATATGTATATCATATATATGTACCACTTGGGGCAGCAGCTCCTATAGTTGAAAAGCATGTATTCCACAGAGAATAAGATCTAAATCCCAGTCTTCATTCCATCCTTTCCTAGGTGTATGAGAGGATGAATGGTTTTTCCTCTCAGAGCTTTTATTCTCTTATGCATGAAACAGAAGCAAGAGGCTTTAGAAAGCAAAAATCAGAATGCCTGAGGAAGACTAACTTAAACTATGGAGGTTTTATTTCACATAATGAGTAGTCGGGAAAGAAGAGGCTTTGGTACTGATACAAGCAACTCAGTGATAGCAGTATTCCAGGATGGCTCCTCTGGCTTTCCCTTCATAGTTGCAAGATGAATGCTCATTTCCAAACATCCTCCCTTAAAATAGGGAGGCGCTGCTTCTGGGGCCCTACCTCCCCACCTCCCCACCTCTGCACTGAGAGACCTTCAGCAGTGTGGGCTCATATTCACCTACAATACTCACTAGCAAAGAAAATTATTAGACCTGAGCATGCTATTGCCTGCTCAAAGAAGGGTAGTGTCAGCAAAGAAGAAGGAGCTGATGAATGGGCAGCGAACAGTGCCTGACACAATTATCCTCACATAGTAAGATTAGTATGAAAACTGAGGAGTGTGAAGGTCGTTAGTGCACAGAGGGCATTTAGGATTGGTATCCCCCAAACTGAAACTATTAGATAATAAAACCTAATACAGTAAGTATTTCTTGAATTTTACAAGGTGCACTTATATTAAAATTAAATTCTAGCTGGGCATGGTGGTGAATGCCTGTAATCCAAGCTATTCAGGAGGCTGAGGCAGAAGGGTCGCAAGTCCAAGGCCAACCTGAGCAGCTTAGTATGACCCTCCCCAAAAAATAAAAAACAAAATCAGCTGGGTATGTAGCTCATTGGTCAAGTGACCCTGCATTTGATGCCTAGTACCACTAAATAAATAAAATAGTGATTTGCTAAACACCTTAATGAAGGAAAACATAAGTTGCTCAAATGATATATAAACTCTACCAGCGCTTTCGAAGTGTTATCTTTTCCACATTCAGAGGGATTCTCTGCATAAAAGTCTAGAATTAAATAATAAGTATATATTAAGTACAGAGTTAAGAAAAGCAATTTTCTTCTAATAATTTAATCAAAAGAACATGTAAAGATGAAATAATTAACTTGGGACTACTAAAAAATTGAGCTAATTTGGCCAGAGGATTTGTAATTTGAGGCTAGGTTGTTATGTGACTGAGCTTGAGCAAGGATGGTGTCACTGTGTCACCTTGCCAGGTGGCCTAGCCTGGCCATCACAGAGGTTTCACTTTAGCACATATAATTCGAGAATTTCCTGTGCACAGAGGCCAGCAGACACAGGCCTCCCTCCCTCTCCTCGGAGCACAGTCAGGCGGGATCAAGCTCCCTGTGCCTGGAGCCTGGGGAGGGGGGAGAGGGGGAGAGAAAGAGAGAAGCGTGGGGAGGGAAGGAGGCCTGGGCAGGTGAGACTTGCACTCCTTCTGAAAGTGGGGCCCAGCCTTGGGGGAACCGAGGAGGTGACAAACCTGGGGACCAGTGTCCTGGGCACAGTGCTAAACTCCCAAAATTTAGTCATTTTAAGAGCGGCCAGGGTCACCCTCTTCTGTTGTGCTTGAAAGTATTCAGTTACTGAACAAGTATATTCCCATGTAGAACCTTTTTATACTCGCTAACCTTGATCTTGTAAAGTATGCTAAAAGTGTATTGTATGTTCTTTTCTGGCAGATGATGACTTATGAGTGGTACTTACCCAAGATGGCAAAGCATTTGCCAGGTGTCCACTTTCCCGGGGACCGGTGGAACCCTGTGGAAGGAGTATTACCTACTGGAGTGGTCACATTTAATCTTTATCGTTTTCTTGAAATAAACAAACAGTAAGCATTCTTTTCATATAATAGCTTTTCTAAAATCTTAAGCTTTTCTAAAATTGTTTCTGTAACAGCTGTGCCTCATCCAAAAGACCAATTTTCTATACCTATTTCCCTGTCACCGGTGAGATTATCTTTGTAATTAAATTGAATATCTGTGCATACATGAGGCCAGGCTGGAATAAATGTTATTGTTCTGGGTAAAGGAAAAATAAAGACAGATTAGTAAGAACAGCAAATAAGATCTTAGTACAATTCAGAGAAATTGAAGATGTGCCTTCCTACTTGAAATCATTGCAGGTATATTGCAAGCAATTACAGTTTCCTCCTGATCAACACCATGGCCCCCTTTTAAGTGTAAAGCGATTTTTTTTCAGGAATAATCACTGTTTAAAAATAGCTTAAGGATTTTGTTATATAAAGGATAAGACATTTTTATAAATAAGAAAAACACCTACAGTTTACACTCGCTGAGATAAAAAGTATGAGAATTATGAATTCTATACTTGAGAACATAAAATTATTCATAGTTAAGGTCAACAATAAAAAGCTCTGTCGGTGTAGTTTTGAATACTTCTCCGTCATTGAGATGTTCAAGATTGTCCAGAGCTTGAAAAAGAGGAAAACTTACTTCATGACTTCTTTTTTCTTCTGAAGAGGACTTCAGAAAATCTTTGTAAATCCCAAAGTTAAATCAGCCCTTGCAAAGGGTCGAATCCCGGTGTTCAGAGCATGTGTTTACAGTGGCTTGTGGAGTAACTGCTCCAGGAGTGTGTTTACTCTATTCTGGAATTGTAGTCTAGAATGAAATGTGCAGAACCTGAAAGTCTCAGAATGGCACCACTGAGCATTCATTTAATAAATGTGAGGATTCCAGAATATTCCAGGAAGTGTTATAGAAAATACTGCACGCCCCTTGGGGAAGCCTAGGTAGTCCCAAAGACTGTGAAGCGACTGGTATCAGCTGGATTTCAGCATGTTAAGAGCATGTTAACATGTAACCTTATTTCGGATTCCATTCAGTTTTCACATAAATGATTTACTTACACATAGACAAAGTTACGTATATAGCATATTTTACATAGCTAGACGGTCTCATTTTCTGTTGCGTTTCTTCACCTGACACTGAGTGTCTCTGTGTCACTGTGAGTCCTATGTAATTAATTAAATGTCTTCAGTGCTATCATTTTTGCTGTATATTTCCATAGTAAATGATAATTTAACAAATATTCTATTTTCCTAAGAAATTTTTGTTGTTTCTAGACTTTTGAAGTTTTAGTATGATGATAAACATTTTGGCTTATAGTTTTGTCAGTATTTTTTTACTAATGAAGTTTCGGGGTAAATATCATCTATTGATGTGTGTTTTTAAAATAATACATGTTAATTATGGAAAAAGAAATTAAATTTAAATGTTAGACAGCCGACATGTATAATATTTAAAATGTGTAGACAGTATATATTTAGGTCTTACTTTATAATACATTCTATACAGTCTACAATGAATAGACTGTAATCATCTTCAAAGTAGTTAGTACAATACACAGGCAAAAAAAAAAAGATTCTCTCTTGCAAAGAATAAACACAGATAATAGCTGTTTTTTAACTGATGTTTTTAGTTCATTTGCATTTAATGTGAATATCAATATGTTTAGATACATATAATTTTTTTTTTTTTTTTTTTTTTTTTTGTCTTTTTCATTTTTATCGGTACCGGGGATCGAACTCACGACCGCCTCCTAGCAAGGCAGGTGCTTATGCTGCTGAGCTAAATCCCCAGCCCCTAGATACATATAATTTTATTGTTTGTTTTCAGTTTGTCCCCTGTTGTTTATTGTACCATTTTCCCTTTTCTGTCTATTTTTAGATTATTTGATTTCTTAAAATTATTTCTTGAGATTTTTACTTATATATCTTGGTAAATATGGGTTTTTTTGTTGTTGTTGTTGTCATTGTTGTTGTTTTCTTGGGGCTTTTTGCTTCTATCGTTGAGTTTTTTCTTTCTTTTACTCAACGCTCTTGAGATTATGACAGACACACTAACTTGCCACCGTTATTTAGGGGTGATATTTTACTGCTTCTGGTGGAGTTGAGAAACCTTACTGCTACAGTAGTCCAGATACTTAATTCTCCACACTATTGTGTTATTGTGTATATTACGTCACATGTATGTTAATTGTCTCTTGCAATTGTCATATATGTACATATTAAAAAATTTAAGAGAAAAAATATTCTATAATATTTATGCGGATATTCGCCAGGTTTATTGTCCTTCCTTCAGTCCTGGTATTCCAGGGCTCCTCTCCTGTGTCACTCAGTTCCTTTCCTTCTTAGAGCAGATCCTTTTAATTATCTGTCATCCAAAAATGTTTTTATTTCAACTTCCTTTTTTTTTTTTTTTGGATGTTTAATGGGCATAGAATTCTGAGTTGATAATATTATTTTATAGCTTCTGATTTGTGTGTTTATGAGGAAAAATCTACATTTAAATTATTGTTCTCCTGATTAAACTGTGTTTTCTTTACTTTTTAAAAGACTTTTTGTTTTAGTTTTCAGTGGTTTGACTATATGATACATTGACATGAGTTTAAGTGTTTGAAGTTTGCAGAGTTTCTTGACACTGTTAATTAGATCTGTCACAAATATAAGCTTTTCAGGCATTACTTTAGATTTTTTTTTTCTGTTTCATGTTTTCTCTTTTCCTCTCAGACTGAGAACAGAAATTTAGACTGCAATGTATTGTTCTACAGGTACCCAAGACAGGAATTTTTGGTCAATCCTTTTCTCCTTTTGTTTGAGAAAAAAGAAATAGTATAAAGTGTCATCCTTGACATACCCTGTCTCAATTTATATGAAGTGCAGCCAGGGAACTTTTAATTTCAGTCATTGTATTTTTTAGGTTTACAATTTTCATCTGGTGCCTTGGTATACCCTCTGTTTCTTTGTTAAGGTTCTCTATCCTCTCACTAATCTCAGGAGTATTTACTTCTAGTCTTTGGCAATTCTGTCATCTTGGAATTGATGTTATTGACTTTTCATTGTGAATTAAAATGTTTTCTTGGTTCTTCACATGCTGAGTAATTTTAGATTTTAGCCTGGGCTTTTGCATATGTATGCCTCAGTTAAATTCCAAGAAGATGTCATTTGTTTGTTTCCTTTTGTTTAGCAGAGCTTGGCCAGGTTCATCTCAGGTTGCAAGTTCTGGTCTACCTTCTGTGAATTCTGGCTCCACTGCCAGTTTTGTTTTTAAAACAGTAGTGACATTTGGATCAGGGCCTTCTGTGTGCTACCCAGTGTCCAGTCTGAGATTTGGCTGGTAGTTTTCCCTGTGGTTGATTTTGCCAACTCTGTTGAGGGTCAGATCCGTGCGAGCCAGGAGAACTCCTGGCTCAGAGATAACTAACCCAGGAGTCCACACGCATGAGATTGCTCGTGAGTGTGCGCCTTTGTGTCCCGCAGCACTTTGCAGCTTCCCAACCCCTTCCTAGTTCTCTGGGGTTTTAATTTCCATCTTCTGCTCTAAGTTTCCTGTGGCTTTGTCTTCATCTGGGATCAGGCTGTGGAATGACAGAGACAGAAAGCAATGGGGATTTGCCTTCTATCTTGGAGCCCCAGCCCCGCTGATTAGAGAGAAGGCATCCCCTTCCCCAGAGTTCCATGGTTAAGTCCACTGTCACCAAGGTATTGCCTGGAGCCTGGAGGAGAAAAGGAGAAAAGATCCAGGATCTTTCCTCCCCCTCTCCAAACCTTATGAGTTTACTTCTTGTTCTATAGGCTAGAAAACAGACGAACTTTTTTTCTGGGAGATTCCTTTCATCCCCATTCGATATGATACGTACTTCTAGGTTTCTGGTCCTTTTGAGTACAGGACAGGCAATAATAGAGGGAGATAAATGATAACTCCCTGCTAATTGGATAGAACTTTTAATGTCAGTCCTACTCCCAGCCTCCTTTCTACCAGTTCCTTTCCTTCCTGGAGATTCTTCTAAGATCACATCTCAGAACAATAGCTGAATACAGAGGGAAAAACAAAAGGCTCCTATCCTGTCTCCCAGAACCAGAACTTTACGTGTTTCTTCTGTACCATACTTTACACCAGCATCTCGCTTGATCTGACTTACTTCACAGATGAGGAGACCAGGTCGTTAGATGATTCTCTTGGAACCCTAGAGGCCGTGAATGGTGAAGAAAACATCTAAAATCTAAGCTACCTTCTTTCAAGCTTCACAGTGTGTTTTACTTTTAACCAGTTTCCTGTTATAGCCCCTTTTCTTTCCCATAGTGAAAAGTAAGATATTAATTACTATTTGGAAGACAGATATTGAGTTATTCTTTTTCGCAAATCAGGCTTATTTTTTTTTCTTTTTTCTTTTTTTGTCTTTTTCCTTTTTATCAGTACCAGGGATCAAACTCACGACTGCCTGCTTGCAAGGCAGGCGCTTATGCCGCTGAGCTAAACCCCCAGCCCCAATCAGGCTTATTTTAACCATATCTGTTACTAATTTTTGCAGTTATTCTAATCTAGCTAATTTTATCCAGCAGGATAAACTTTAAATAATATATTTGGTCAAAATTCAAATAAGTCAACATGAACACCAAATGACTTATTGGTAACCAAAGTTTAAGGAGTCAAAAGTGATTTTTCATGAATTATATTAAATGTGTAAAATTTTAAGTTAAAGTATAAATATTTTCTTGTATCTTCAGGAAAGACACATTTGTTTGCATAGGAATTCATGAAGGTGACCCAACCTGGAAAAAGAAGTATTCACTGTGGCCATGGGGGTCTTGTGACAAACTAGTTCCTTCAGAGATTGTATTCAACCCTGAGGAATGGGTCAAACTCACAAGGAATATGTATAACTGGACTGAAGAATATGGAAGGTAGGAACATAGCTTGCATTTTTAAGCATAAAATAGCAGTTTTGCTTAAAACAGTACTACATCTTGAGATGCCTTTTAATGCTTTTTGCATGCTTGTTTATTATTAAAATGATTTGCTTCCTATAAAGTATCACAAAACAAATACAGAGAGACAAATACGTCTCTCTTCTCTGTTGACAGAATGTCAGAGGACAGAGGGACAGAGAGGCAGAGTTGAGTGCATGCCGCAGTAGTCACTAGCACAACAGCTGTGTCCAGGCCTTTGAAAGTGGTATTGTCCCCTGCTCCTCCTCACCTTATTCCCCTAAAACTAGAAGGGACTTAATACCTGTGGTTGAGTTTAAGAGGCACCGGAAGGCTCATGACAGTGTCCACACGCATGAACTTGTTGCATGCTTTCTTCTTCAAGAACAGCAGACATGAGCAGAGCAGGTAGCTCAGCTGTAGTGTACTAGCCTACTTGCCTCATATGCATGAGACTCTAGGTTCAATCCCCACCGCTGCCAAAAGAAAAAAGACTGCAGATTATTTTTCTGGAGGAAAGATTGAATTTGGGTACATTTTTCACAGTTGTTGGGTTTCAATCTGATAATGTTTCGGAGGACATTATTGGCCTGCCTTTAAGCATTTCTACTCTCTTCCACATGGAAAATAAATCACCATCTAAAGAAATTCCCCATTGTCTGTTTGTTAAGTTATGAATTACTGTGTTTAAAGAGTATGTAACCTATTCAGTACCCAATTAAATCAGTACGCAATTAAATGGTGAAACTTTTAGAGACCAAACACCCAAACTGCAGCCCAAAACCCACTTATTTATCCCAGAGTGCCAGCACTGCAATTAAACTTGCATACTGAAGTTTTAGTTTAGAAAAAACAATTCACCCACTTGGCTCATACACCCACAGAGAGGGCACCGCACAAGAGGGGAGACCATCTGAACAGTTGCTACGTAGGTGTTTTTGAGTCAACATGAGCAGACAGACCTCTTTGTGTGTAGCAGCGAGATCCAGGTAAAAAGGCCTGCATCGAAGCGCTCTGTGGCCTGCAGAAGGAAAGGACAGGAAATGACATCTTCTTTGATGGGCAGATGCATAGGACACAGGTATAGCATCATTCACCATCGCCCTCTGTCAAAATAAACACTGAAGGAAATGTTAACTAAGAAAAATCAGCAGACCGTTCTTCCAGCAGCTTTGTGACTTCTGTACAGGTACATCAGAGCTGAGCATCCCCTCACCAGCTCATTCTCTGGCTTTTCACCGGGTCCCAAGGATGGCCTGCACCTCACTTCCACCCCCTGTCACTGTCCAACAACTGATGTGACAGCAACACCCTGAGCGCCCAGCCTCTCCCCCCAGTCCTGAGGCCCTAAGCACAGATCAGGAGCACATTTTCCAGAAGCCCAAATTTCTCACAGTTGAACTGGTTTTCAGTTTAGTTGCTGTCCATGGTTCTTCAAGGCCCAGCCTGCTTTAGTGATCCTGTAAAATGTATAAAACGAGCTCCTCACGTCATAGTGATAAATGGCTGATGGGAGATACTGTCTTTCTTGTAACTGCAGGTTTGATCCATCTTCTTGGGAGTCAGTTGCTAATGAAGAGATGTGGCAAGCCAGGTGACTATTTTGCATTCATGTCTTTCAGTCTCTTTCAAACACAGCAGAGAAGTAGCCTATGGCACGTTTCATTTCAAGAGCACTAAAAACAACACTAGCAACTATTTTCTTTGAGGCATTGCATGTGAACAGTCTCATTTTGTCCTCATGACCCCCTGTGAGGTTACTGACCTCCTCATTGTTTAAAAAGGGCAAACTGGAGTGGAGAGAGTCCGGCCAAGTCTGCCTGCTCTGGGATCCCAAGTCCAAGCCCATGTCCTTTTGACGTGGAACACTGAACCCCTGTGCTTCCTGTTTCAAGCACACCTGAGTGACCGAGTGAGACTGAAGGGAAGCCAGTCACACCAGCACTGCCTCGCTTATAATGTGCCAGCAGTTGTTCACCTGGCCCCTCTTTAATACATCCTGGAGACTGGGCAGCGCACTATGCATCAGAGCTGTGGGTGTCAGGAGAATGCGGTTCCCACCCTCGTGGAGCATCCTAGCATGGAAAGGGGAGGCCTCACTGTTAATGCATAGATGCTGGGCTTTCCTGACAGAGAAAGCTGGCACTGTCCTGCATGAACTGCTCTGTCATGATGCCATGGCTTCCTAGGGCCGTTGTTACAGTTTTTAAGTAATCAAGTGACTTTCACTAGTAGACCTTGGCCTGAACGTAAACGTACAGGTCCTAAATAGTACAGGCAGGGTGCCTTTTACAGACAGAGTGCCCCTATCTACAAAAACACGCTGATGCCCAGTCTGTGCCACTGACTGCACTGGGAGCTAAGTTGCAGTAAAAAAGACTTCTGTAAGCTTCAAAAGGTTCATCATCAACTGTCAAGAAATATAGCTCCACTATAATGTTACAAAAATAAGTACAGAATATTTGTGCCATAGTAGTTATTAAAAGGTCATCAGTGGCAGATTTCCACTTACCAGGCTAGCTATAGGGAGAGACACTGAAGATTGATCAAAGATAGGCTGTGTGTTTATACTGCACTTCACCACGACTCACTATAGAAGAGCTGAGCAGACATCACATAAAAGAAGCGTGCACGTCATTATTGGGGCAGGCATTGATTTAACTGGGGACTGAATACAACCCGGATGAGCTTGCATGACCAGCCTTGTTACAGGACCGGTCACAGGCATGAGGGCTGCTGTGCGCGGCCACAGCTCACCCCGTCGCCTGCTCCGGAGGGGCCAGCGTGGCCGTGCTGGGGTGTATGTAGACTTTCTCCCTGCAGATTTGGTAGTAAGTATGCAGTGTCTTTGGTGAACAGCGGTTGCTGGTGACTCAGAATAAATGTCTAAGAATATGAGAGAATGAAAAGTAATACAATCAAGGGTTTCGTCCATGCCGTGTCAGTGGAGAGCCTGGCGCAGTTAGCCCTCAGTGCGAAATGGATGATGCAGCTTTAACGAGAGGCCCCACTCTCTTCCCAGGATGAAGACACCATTCTTCATCTTCAACCTGGCAGAAACGGTGCCTGTGCCTTCGGATGTGAAAGCTCAGCTCTATGCGCATGCGTACAATGTATGTCCGTCTTTGATAAAGAGGGCTGTTTGGTGGGAGCTGTGGCAACTGTTTGGGGTGGAGAGGGTGTGTAGCAGTTTTTATTCTTTGTTTCCAGCTTAGTTCGGACGTTGTAAAGCATTGTAGAATGGGAAGTACTCCATATTGTCACAATGCCTGAAGTAAATGGCTGCAGTAAACAGAATGACATCCCCTGCAGGATGTCTGTGTCCTCAACTCCAGAGCCCGTAGCTTTTATCCTATAGACAAAGAGGACTTTGTGGATGTGATTCAGATGAGGTTCTTGAGGTGGGAAGGTGTCCTGGATTACCCAGATGGGTCTCATATAACCCAGGGGCCTTGACAAGAGAGGAAAGGGGTGAGAGTGGCGGAGTTGGGGTGCAGAAGCAGCAGTCAGAGAGGCAGCAGTCGGGGACATCACACGTGGGCTGGAGGCAGTGGCAGGGGCTGGGGGCTGAGGCGTGTGGGTGTGTCTGGAAGCTGCACCAGGGAAGGAAGTAGCCTCCTTCAAGGATCCCAAAGGACATAGCTCTGCTCATTTCATTGGTGTGCTGAATACAACATGGGTGAGCTCATGTGGTCAGAGAGCCCAGCTGTGTACTTAACCATCAGAAGTGCAGGATAATAAATGTGTGTTGCTTGAGGCCACTGTTTTTGTGGTCATTCATTATAGCAGCATAAACTAATATAGTGGCTATATAAAAAAATAAAAAGTTCTGGCAGGTTACCCTTTGTGCAGAAGCCCAGACCCTGGCTGTGCTTGAAATGAGAGGGCCATGGCCAGTTGAGATTTCATGGGTAAAGAGGTTGTAGAGAGATGCTGTCTTCTAACTCCAGGCCCCATGAAGTGAACAAGTCCTCCAAACGCACAGCCACACGGAGGCCCTTCCGCACATTTGCCCTCCTTACCGGAAGGTGGGTGTGTGGAGAGGCTCACTGCAGTACTGCTGAGCCACATCTGCTCTTCCATGCCCTGGAGCACTGGGCTCTTCAGCTTCTGCAGACAGCCCTGGAGTCTGCTGTACAGGAAGCAGATACCCTGGAAAGGCCACAGACACAGAGGCCAGGGCAGAGTGTATGAACAGCAGGTACCTCTGCACTCCCTGGACTGCTGTGCATCTTCTCTGGGCCTTCACTTGGAGCTAGGTCAGAACAGCATGATGTCTAATTAGTATGACTAATTCTCCTGAACTCAGATCCTTGCTCTTACTCATTTGTTTCCCACTGGCAGAGCACTTACTGAGTCCCTGTTCTGTAACACATACTGCATGGGAGGTAAGAGGCTTTGTTCCTACAACCAAGAAAGGTAGAGTGCTAGGAAGGGAGACAGAGGCCAGGCCCTTGGGGACAGTGTAGGCCTCAGAGTGCAGAGGGGCAGTGAGGGCAGAGGTGGGCTGAGCCAGCTGGGCTGAGTGTCCCTGGGTTGTTGGCTGAAAGACCAGGACGAGCTCACCAGACAGATGGCAGAGCCAGGAAGCCAGAGAGGGCGGGTGGGCGTCCATCCGGAGGAAGCCACAGGCGCGTCCCCCAAGGGCAGAGGGGTCCTCAGCACCTGCCTGTCTGGGGCCTGGCCACTCCACCATGTGTTGTCAACTATGAATCATTCAACCTACAAGGCCTTGATTTTTTTTTTTTTTTTTAAGAAAAATGAATGTTAAACTTTAAAGCATAAGCTCTCACATACTGGTCATATCACACTGCCTCTTCATCTCTAGTGCCTTGCAGATTTTATTTGGGACTCACTAGTGTTTCATGTTCTTATCAGAGAAGTCTTCCATGTGGGTCATTAGGCCACGCTCACGCTGCCTGCAGCTCTGTGGCCCCTGTGGGCCATGAGCTTTGTCCTTTTCAGTGAACACAGGCTTTCAGCCCCTCCTTGCCTGCGTATGTCTCCAGATGTGTGATAGTATTCACAAGATGAGCGAGGCCAGTGACACAGACGCATCCCAGTGCTGGTTCTTCAAGAACATTCACACTAGGTGTTAAGGTGTTTGTCCTATTGTCCCACTTCATAGGTTATACAAGACATTAAGTTAGATGATTTGGAGGCAGTTAAAAAGCAAGGAACAGCCAGAAACTCGGGAAACATTGGGCCAGGTGAGGCTATTCCCAAAGGATAGTGTACAGCCCACTAACACTACAGTATCACTGTAACACACAGAGGAGATGCAGCTCCACACAACAAGAAATGCTGCTACCCACAATGCAGTGCAGGTGGCTTACCAGGTCTCCAGAATTGGAATTAGCCAGTGCTGCCTGAGCCACAGAATGTTCCAGAAAGGGCAGAGCAGTTGCTGATGCCTGAAGACTATAGTGGGTTATAGTGAGCTTTTGCTTCTCTTGAGCACTTGGGGAAACAAATTCTCCAGGAAGTGCTGCCTCTGCTAGGCTTTTGAAAACCTAACAGTTCCTGTGTGCCTGCCTTGTGTTGGCATCTGCCTGCCGTGCACTGCACAGGACCCCTCATGAGGAGGCTGGGGATGCGGAGAGAAGACAGCCTAGCAGGGCTGGGAGACACACTTTCCCTGACAGAGGATATGGCGATGTTTTCACATTTTATGAAACTTAGGTAACTTCAGGAGAAGGTGCTGTGAAAGGCAACTTGAAGGCAAAGGCCTATTAAGTATGGAAATGACACCTCGTTGTGGGTTGTAGACTTTGGGATGGAGACACTCTTGACATCAGCGTGCATCCATCTGTTGTGGAACAGGGAGAGTCGGGGAAGTGGACAGTGTAGTTCAACTTCGTGAGGCTGGGAATACGGTTCTGCCTCAGAAGCCTGTGTCCCATCGATGCTATCCCATGCTGTGTTCAGAGCTGCTAGCATATTCCTGGGAATCCAGCTGACTTAACAGACCCCAGGAAGACAGTGAAATCCCAAAGAAGCAAGCATAATACTTCACTTTGCTTTTTGTTTGTGCATTAAATTTCCATGGGCTTCCTTTCTTCAATATTGAAAATGTAAATGTACCAAATTAATACTGTCAGATATGGGAAAATCAAAATTCTGAGTTTCTGTGGCAAAGACTCTTAAAATTGTCCATTACAGGCTGTGGTGTGGGTGGAGAGTGTTTGGTGCTCCTTATGTTGTTTTTTCCAGCCCCCTTCAGGATGGGGTTTTGGGATTCTTCTGTTGTTGTCACTACTGTTGTCTTTAATGCTGAGAGAAACTCTTTTAAATAACACGGGACAAAATTTCAATTCCTTCCAGTTCTTTTGCCACACGGTCTTCTAAAGGAAGCTTTTTTTTTTTTTTTTTTTTCTCCAGCAGCTAAATTTAGAGTTTCAGCCTCTCTGCCTGTTGAGTAAATAGCTTTCCACGAGTTAGAACTAAATCGCTTTCCCAGAACATCTTTCTGAAGGAAGGGGATTTTGTCCTGACAGTGTGTGTCAGGTTCTTCCTGCAGCCCCCGAAAGCCCCAGAAGCAGTTTCAGATGAAGCGTATTTGCCTCCTGCTACTGTAATAATTACAGTAACATCCTGCATTTTCTGCATGGCCTAACAATGATTAGATTTTTACTGTAGGCTGCTTGGAATTTTTTTCTTATGCTATCAATTCCTCTGTGGTTTCTGTTTTGTTTTGTTTTGTTTTGGGGGGATCAAATCAAAGGATAACAGTGGAATGCCCAAATTTTTGCCGTCTTCCAGCTTTATAAGGAGATCGTGTATTTACGAAAAGAACATCCCGTGAACTGGCACAAAAACTACGCCATCGCCTGCGAGCGGATGCTGCGCTTCCAGAAGGGAGCCGCGGATGCCGAGGTCCTGTTGTCTGAGACCATCAGACACTTTCATCTCTACGCTCAAAAAGCACAGAATGATCCACAGCTCACTGATATTTTAGCTGCTCTCAAGGACCTAAGGAAAAAACTGCACAGTCTGAGAAATATGAAAAATGTCAGAGGCAGCAAAATGTGAAAAGCCCGCTCTCACTCAGCTCCCAACGTTCTGAAGTCCAAAAGTTTTTCCTCCAAGAAAAGAAACTGCAAACTAAGTTATTGCCCAGATACAAATAACCTGGTGCAGCAGTGCTGCCTAATCAATGTTGAGTACCCACGATGTAGTATTTATGCAAAGTCTGTTTACCCTGTTACCAAATTAGCGTTTCCAGGAGAAGCTTCAGAAAACTCTTCTTCGTACCTCCCACCACACAGCCTTTCACCAAATGACTGTGTTTGATTACACTTTAGAAGAGAATGAGTTATTTTCATCTACTTAAAATATTGACCATGAATCCTTAAGGACCATGCTTTTGAGATGTTCTATGGGTGAAATTCATAAAGTTTTCATGCCAAAGAGATTTTGTTTTTGAAAGTGAAATAGTTTTTTTTTTTAAAAAAAAAAAAAAAAGAATGAATCATGTTTTGATTGAAGTTTAGAATTTTTTTTCGAAAAAAGGAACTGTCATTGTTCCACGCATCACACTGCAAGGTACACACCAACTGGGTATTACCATGAAAAGGTTTGTCTTAGAGGCAAACCTTTCTCTCACATGATGTTTTAGGGAGTTTGCCACATTGACTAAAGAGGAAAGCTAATTTGGTGCACAAATTGGCAAGTAAAAAGCATTTCATATTTACTTAATTTTGTATTTATATTTTACTTCTCTATGGACTCACAAATCTAGACCCAATGACTAGCAGGTTCCTGCTGCCCAAATGCAAATTAAAAAAAAAGAAAAAAAAAGTGTCTGTAGGGATTGGGGTGGGATTGTTCGATAAATTCATTTCTGTTACAAGCATCTTTTATACCTATTACTAAAGAGAACATAGTAAGAAATGCAAATAATAGTTCTTTATTTATTATGACAGTTAATTAATAGCAACCTGTTTTAATGAATAAAGTCACTCAGAGTCCTTCAGTACTTCCTAAGTAGAGGCCCAAATCTATAGGGATTCTTTCCCCCCAATTGTGTGGCTCCTGGACTCCAGGCACTATATAGGCCCCTGTATAGAAATGCTCACTAATGAAGAGGGAGGGCTCGAAGCTTGTCTGCATTCAAAGATCACTGGTGAGTCATTCAGCAAGAAAAGGCCCCTTACCAGGAATACTCACAGTTCCGTGGCATTGTACTAGCAAAAGGGTCTGATCAAAGGTCTCCTGCGGAGCTTGCATGGTTCCCTTTCATACTACGACCATAATTAAAACCACTAATTCTCTTTTAAAATGCTGCAGGATGCCATGTAGGCATCTGTCTGGAGTGTCCTTTGTGATGTCATAAGCTGTTAAGGACCAGTGCCGAGGGCTTTTGAGCGAAATGCCAGTCATGAAGGTGCTTCAAGACAAGGGTGCCTCTAAAAGCTTGACAGGCCTTGACTGCACAATTCGAGCTGAATTTGCCCCTTGTCAGCTGCCAGTAAATAAATCTCAAAGGGGGAAAAGCTGAAGTTTCATTACCTGATCCATGGGGCTTTGTTGGTTTTGGCATCACACAGGGGAAGCTCTTGCCCCTCCATTCTCTGCATTTGAAGATGTCCATTGGAGCCTGCAGCGCCTGGACAGGGTTCAGAGCGGAACCTTTTGAAGAGTGTCAATAGTTGTAACAGTTCAGCTGTTAGGAAGACAAATAAATGGAGGAGCTCATTAATCCGCTTTTGGCTCTCAGTGCCTTTTGCCCTTTTATCACAGCCTTATTAGGCTCCTACTCATCTTGAACCAGAAAAAAATGAATTGAAGTTGTTGAGTACTAATTGGCAAAGACTTTTAATCATGGGCCAAGAACTTTCACTGACTTGAAAGTAACTTCTCCACAGGGAAGAACCCAAGACCTGGGTTACCTTAAAACAAAAACCTGTTGGAGTTCAGTGTGGTGTAAAAATTTAAGGAAGCGTTGATAAATTGTTTAAGTTTATCCACTTGAAAGAAATTATGAAAGACTATGATTTTCACTTTTCTGGGGGAAAGAAGGGCAATAAAATGCAAATGGTTCTTAGTAGCATGTTGTCTGTTGGTTCAGAAAAGAGGTTGCTTGTCTGTGTCAGTTGACTGTGCTTGTTTTGAACATCTACATGCGTGTGTGAATATTCATCTGCGTACACATATGTGGTATCTGAGGCACCTTATTAAAGGTATTATTCCCAGTCATAGCCTAAAGAATGGCAATGGAGGCCTCTCTTTGAGGGTATCTTCCTTCCAGGGCGTCTAAGCAGGCGCTGTGGATTGACTGCTGTTGAATGGTACATGGATTATTATGCATTTGTACAGTGATGGCTTTGGACCACTCTGTCTTTGAGAAGGCAATGATTAAGTCCAAAGTAGATAGGATCGTACTTATATTTAAATTCCTAAAAGCCATGGTCAAATGAAAAGTAGCGAGCTGAACTGAGAGGTAGGAATATGGGGTTCAGTCCCATATTAACTACTTTGAAGAATCCTTTCCTTTCCTTTGTGTGATGCTAAGTAAGTTGTTTTATCCCCCTTTCTCTCAGCTAATACACACACTGTAAACTAGAAAGGGCGTCTTTAGTTTAACTCCCAGTGTTGAAGAGGATGTGAAGAAGATGACTTCTCACGCCAGGTTTGGCTGGCCTCCCCAGCAGTGTCCCAGGAGGGCTGTGGGTTGGCAGAGGGACAGGAGCCCCACAAGGCCAACTTCTGCCTGGGCCTTGGCCGGGGGAGCAAGTGGGAGCCAGCAAGGCGGTCTGCCTCCCCACATGCCACAGTGCCCTGCTGCCCTAGCACCCGGATGCTGGGCGGGGTGGGGGTGGAGGTGGGGGGCCTACGGCTGCAGCCGCCCAGCGAGCCTGGCTGTGTCTGCCTGCCCCTGCCCACATGCATTGTTCTTGGGGTCAACTGCTTTTCTTTTTCTTTGTTTTTTAAAAGGACCCATTTCATGCAGCAAAATGGAAAGGTATCAATTACTAGTGTACTATTTTGAAAAATTTACAATAGAAATTATGAAATGTTATGTCTGCCCACATTCTTAGTGTTTTCTAATGTGGGACCATGATATTTAATTTTTATGATATTTAACTAAAGCCTATTTGGAGTATTAGATTACTGTTGTGTTGCTTTACAGATAACTTGAAGTCATCAGGCTAGGATATGAAGCATAGATTTTTAAAATATTTAAAAAGTTAAATAGTCTGAGTCCTTGATAGTGACTGTTATTAGTATTCTTCAGAAGTTAAAATGTTAATGCTTTTAATATTTGAGAAATGTTTTAACTCCAAAGGTTGAAAAGTGCTGTTCCCCCAAATTCTTTTGCTCCATTTTACTTTTGGTATATTTTATAAATGCACCAATGCAGGATACTGACTTAAAGTTCTGCTCTTCTAACTGGCTCAAGTCCGATGCTCAGTAAATAAAATGATTCCAACCCAAGAAGAAAATCGCACTACTTTGTTCATCCCCAGGTTTTATACCAGATGCAAAACCATCATAAAGCTCATACTGACAAACCAGCGCAGGCTGCAGGATGTTGGGAACATCCAAAGGCCATAGCCAGGGCAGACGGAGAGCTGCCGCTCAGCACTGTCAGGCTCAATGAAGACGTCACGTCCCCACCCTCGGGAGGTCTGGGATCCCCACGTGGGATGACTGAAGCAGCTCCAGGGACAGTGCAGTGTGCTTACCTGACTAGGAAAGTAAGCTAGCAGGAGTAAATCCTGTAAAGGGTCTCTCCACCCAGAAAAGGGGAAATCCGATAGCTCCTTCCTAGAGGGCCATCACAGGCCCCTGGCAGAGTTCTTTCTTCTGCAGATGTAAGGTTTTACTGGTGAGGGTGAGTTTTCAATAGCACACTGTGGTAGGTTGTTGGGCTGCTACGGTTGAGATGGTCGGTCGCAAGGTAAAGGTCAAGATCAGGAGGGCAAAATGCGGCCATGTTCCTCCCCAGTGACTCAGATTCACAGAGCAGCCAGATAGCTTAAGGCTTTCTTTGGTGAGGATGATGTTCTTGCAAGTTCTCTGCAAGCAGTGGAAGGGGACGAGAGGTCTAGCAGATGGGTATGAAATACAATCTTTGCATCGTTCAGTGTGTCATGAGCTACTCACCACATACTAATAGAGATTATGAGTTATGTACTGTTTGGGGGGAAAATGCCACAATCAACTTCTATTTAAAAGTGTTATCTGAAAGGAGTTACTTTGTAAGATAACCTTTGCAAAGGGATATTTGCGATTTCTCTTTGCTGAATGAGATGTTCCCTTACATGTTCCAACCCTTGGAAATAGCCTCATACCTGTCATTTGTTTTAAAACCAAAAGGGCAGCCCTGCGTGGGAAGCCAGGCCTGGGTGCTTCTCCCAAGCAAACATCTGGAACCGGGATGATGGGCACCACAGGGAACAGGATTCCCGGGGAGGCCTTCAGTGTGAAAACCGCACCCAGAAGCAGCGGCTGTGGACAGAAAGAGGACCCAAGGCCCGGAGCCTCCTTCCAGTGCCCTCCCTCGCAATGGGCGTTGAAAGCAGAAGGAAAAATATGAGATAATTGTTGTATTAATAGAAGTAGATTTAAACATAATGTAAAAAAGATGAATTATTCTAGGAAAAGCTACAGAAAAAGTTATTTGAAAGAAGACATGATCTACTAATAAAAAATGAGCTTTCACTGATGAGTTAAAGGCCAATGAAACAGTAAAAGGAAGTCTCGATAAGAAGTGTGCATATGGGCAGATGAAAAACCAAAGTTAAACTCCAGAGTTGAAAGCAAGTAAGTTCCGAGGAGGAGCACACACGGGCTGCTGGTTATTCAGTCTGCCACGATCCTACCAGACACAGCACAGCCTCCGTGTGTGCTGGTACCTGCCACACTTCTGTCCTTGCCCTGCTAACCCTGACCTCGCGCTTGCCCGCACCCATGTGAGCCCCTTCCTCTCCAGGCAGGTCCACTCGTCCCAGGGTGATTGTCAAAATGCCGGTCATAAGGTCAGTTTAGTAACACGTGACCAATTCCTCTAAATGGCAAAACAAAAAAATGCAATGCATCTGAGCTAACAAGCACAGATGTTTCATGAAATGTGTATACACATGTATATTTATGACATCTTTTACTATGCATGTGTGCATATATATAAATAACACATATAAGCCTGCAATTGTATTACTAGGTCACAATATAAAATGTATTTATTATGGATCACATTAAAAAATAAATTTGGAAGGCACAGGCTTAGGAAAACCTAACACAAAAGGGTTTCTAAGGGATCATCCAGTAGTAACTATCACAATTAGTGCGATTTAATACATGAGGAAAACAAGTCCTATAGTAAGTAACCTGAATAACGTCACACACACACCCAGGCAGCGGCACAGAGCCATGACAGGAGTTTCTGACCCAGGCTGGTCCACCCTGTGCCCTTCACAGTTAAAGGATGATAGAATTTTTGGCATGGAAGGGAACCATCTGATAGGATTTTGGCACAGCTGAAAAGATAAGAAGTATGAAATATAAATGAGACCTTTATTTTAAGAACGTGGGGAGAGACCCCCTGACCCTCCGGGGTCTGGCATTCTCTCCGCCTTGGTGTGGGGGCATACAGGTAAGCTTAGGTTTGGGGTGGTGCCTAAGGGGCATTACTGGTGCACAGGTAGCCCATTGGTATTTATTTCGCACCACAGGTAAATTCCTAGGGGCGGGAAGATGACCTCAAGATAGAGCCCCTTGGTCCCGCCTCCAAGGCTTCACCGGCTACAGTGTCCCATCTGGGACAAAAACTTTTCAAAAGAAACCAGTCGAATCCACCATCCAGCACAGCTATGTTCTCAAATGATGCTGCCATGCTTAAATTATGACAAACTTTTCTAGAGGGAAATGGTGTGTGAAATCAAACACTATGTTGCAGGAGATTGTTTAAAAGCCATGCACAATTGCTTCCTCCAACCCTTCAGAATGTAATGTTTCCCCTTTCTTTTTAGAAAGGACCAAATTGTATCCCTAGCTTTGCTGAGAATTTCCCCACCCATTCTGGACTTAGAAATATACACCCGAATTAAAGAGTTTTAGTGTGATAAGAAAAAGTCACTTTGAAATCCAGAAATGTATTAGCATAAATTATACTCCAGCTGAATCAGCTGCTGGCAGCTCCATTTGAAAGCTCCCCTCTGAGACAAGGTCCAGGCATAGTCAGGAAAAGACCAAGTCCACTGGGCATCCTGGGTGTGGCATTAGTCTCTGTCTTCCAGGAACCAAGCTACCGCCAAGGTGTTGCTCACAGGGTTGTCCCATTCAGCCCCTTGATTTAAACAACAAAGGGTCACAAATATAGAGGCCCCTTTGAAGACCCAAGTGTCTAGCTCCTCATTAGGAACAATTCTGGGTATAGGTAAAATGATTCTTTCCAAGTTTGCCTCCTGAGTCCTACATATAAAGATGACAATAGGGGATATAATTCAGCAGCACAGGGCCTACCTGGCAGGCTCGAGGTCCTGAGTTCAATTCCCAGTACCAAAACAAAAAAAAGAAAAGAAAAAGCAGCCATAAAAATTATAATAATAAACCACGATTGTTGTAGCAACTAATGACATTTATCATCATTAATTGTTTCAGTGATTTAAAATCACGCATTTCCTTCATTTCCTTTCAGAAGTAGAAGTAATTTGGCCTTTCTTTGAGAAGCAGGTAAATTTGGTGTTTCTCTGGGTCACCAATAGCTCATAACCTCACAGTCAGAGGCTTCTATGTGTCATGCCCTTGGTAAAGGTATAAAAGAAAGCACAGGCCTTCTCTGGAATCACAGCAGGAGCACAGGTGCGTGGAGCTGTAGAGCTGGCTCACAGAGCTTGTACCTGGATTCCCTCTTGTGGAGCAGAGACGCCGCCTGGCTCAGAGGTGAGCTGAGCGGCTCAGGCTCATTTTCTGCAGATGTGTTGGCAAAGGCGGGTCCTCTTCCGTTGCGTTCCTGTAGAATAAAGCTTCAAAGCCTCCCAGTACCTCGCTTGTCTCTTACATGGTTAAAAATATCCTCACGCAGTACACATCTGGAAATTTTAA